CAACACTCAAGCAAATGCCTGGTCGACCAATTCACGCAATGTGACTTGGCTTCTCCGCAGCACAGGACCTTCTGATGCTTAGCCAATGTGTCGACCAATTCCCGGTCAAAGTCAGTTGTTGGATCATCTGGTACTGATACCTCGCTTTTGAGGGCACTGTACATCTCGGCTCGGTTGTTTTGACCCTTGAAGTAGAAGTTCACGGAGCGCGAACGGGCGATGGCCCAGTCGTTCAATGCCTCCATCAATGGAGGGTGGACTGTTTGGCCTTCAGTTCCCAGGAGGCAATGATCTGGCCATACGATGAAAGGAAGCCCACTCTTGGATGCCTCCAGTTTCTTTGCATATTCCAAGCTCCAGTCACGCAGCTCTGGCTGCCTGGCTTGCCATTTTCCCGCGCTGATGTCCTGAGATGTCATGTGATATCCTGGTGCCGGTTTGCCACCGTCCTTATCCGTCCAGAAGCTGGCATGATGTATGTGCATCTTGTGGTGTGAGTCAAGCGTAACCACGATACGCTCGATCTTTTCCTTGAATTTCCTGATCAAGGCTGCGATCTTTCTGGAGTCCTCTGTCGCACCAGTGACTGCCAAGCTGCCTCCTTCGTGGAAATCCACCTGTGGGTCAATGATGAACAAGGCCAAACCACCCGAAAAATTGTCCTGGAGCGGCACTCCATCCATCAATCCTGCAGCGCCAGCTTTGGATGCAAAACCTGTTTGCTGTCGACATAACCGTTTGCCGCGCTGGCTGAGGGATTTATTGAAAGCATCTGGATCCATCTCGGCCTTTCCGATCTCGGCTGTCTTGCCATTGAAATCGGCGGCCTTGCACACGGTGATACCGGCTTTGCGCATATCGTCAACAAAATGTCTGGCAACTTCCTCAAAGCCACCAACCGGTGAAGCGCAATCCTCCAAAAGAATGATGTCGCTGATGCGCCCTTGTTCCCAACCGCTAAGAAGGTCGCGAGTGGACCAATTCACGCAATGAGACATGGCTTCACCGCAGCAGACAACCTTTTTATGCTTCTTGAGCGTCCGGATGAGATCCAGGTCCAGAGACGTTGTCTTGTCGTCCTCCACCTCGACCTCAGCCTTCAGACAGCTGTACATTTCGGCACGGTTGTTCTGCCCTTTGAAATCTGCCACAGTGCCCTGAGGCACGAGCTGAAGTGTCCTCAGGTCCTCGGCCTAATTTACCAGCCTGGAACATATCCCTATCCCTATGCTGGGCATCGCCCCATCACGATGCCGATCTTAGGGATTCCCTCAGTTTTTGAGGGCGCATCCCTAAGATTGCCATCGCCTTTCGGCGTGTCAATCTTAGGGATAGGGATAAGTTCGAGGCTGGTGGCGAATCCCTTACGCTTCAGTCCTCCATCCTGAGGATTCTTTAAAGCCCAGACCAAATTGCCAAATCTCCCGGAGCTTGTCGAGTGTCCCCCGGGCCTCAGCGCGTCTTGTCGCATGACTCGTTCGGGCCCAAGGAGGGCCCCAAGAAGGGCCACGAGCGCCCCGAGAGGCCCCAAGCTGGTCCGAGAGGGCCACGAATCGCCGAACGATCGGCCCAAGACACCCAAGATGGCCTGAAGACGGCTGAAGAGGCACCTAAGACGCCCCAAGAGAGGCCCGAGAGGCCCCCCGAGAGGGTCCCAAGAAGCACAAATCTTCCAATTCCAAATGAAAGCACATATTTGTAGCATAAACGACTTTTCGGCCTCACGGTAGTCCAAACGGCCAAGAAGGCCCCAAGATCGCCCAAGACGGCCCAACAGACCCCCAAGAGGGCCCCAAGACGGCCTAAGAGAGCTCCAAGACGGCCCCAAGTGGGGCCCAAAAGGGTGAGCCCGAACCGACAATTCGAGCTCTCCGCCGCAATACACACCCAGGAGGCCTCAAGAGGCTCCAAGAGGCCCCAAGAGGCCCCCAAGACGCCCCCAAGACGCCCCAAGAGGCCCCGAAACTGCCCCCAAGAGACCTCAAAAAACTGCCTCCCAGAGGTCCACATACCAGCGAACGTCCAGGAGGCAAATGACCCACAACCCGGGCACGGTGGCAGGACGAACCGAAGGCCATCAGATCCCACGCCCCCGGGTGATTCGTCACGGGTGTACCTGGCGTGCAAGACTTCTGAGAGGCGCGGGTTCTGTTCCGAAGAACTCCCGGTGTGTCTCGGCCGATCCCCCTGGTCACCCGGGGAAAAATGCAGCCCGTTAAGTCCCCCAAAAAAGAACCCCAAAGAAACCTTCAAAACAACTAAAATAACCTCCAAAACAACCAAGGTGTCCTCAAGAGAGGCTAAGATGGCCCCCGAGACGCACCCAAAACGGCACAAGATGCACCCAAGACGGCCTAAGATTGCCTCAAGATTGCCTCAAGACGGCCCAAGAGGCCCACAACAGACCTCCAAGATGGTCGAAGAGGCGTCCAGGAGGTCCACCAGCAAGGCCCGAAGAGGCCAAAATCATTGACGTTCCCGCGGTGATTGAAGGAGTTCGGCCTTTGCCCCTGTTCGGCCTTCCAACCTCCCAAGACGGCCCGAGAGGCCCCCAAGATCTCCCCAGGAGCGCCCAAGAGACCTACGAGATGGTCCCATGAGGGCCTAAGAGGCCCCTGGAATGGCCCGAAGAGGGCTCCAAGACGGCCCAAGAGGCCTCGAAGACGCCCAACGACGGCTTCCCACGGAGTCAGGCGTGCCAGGAACGCCCTGAGACGTCCGAAGAGGCCCCCAAGGAGCCTCCAAAGCCCCCAAGAAGCAGAAGGAAATCGCCAAAAGGCCTCCAAGAGGCCCCCCGAAAGCTCTCAGGAGGCCACACGAGTGCCCCAAGAGGCTCCCAAGGGGCTCCCAAGAGGCCTCCTCCTCCTCCTCCTCCTCCTCCTCCTCTTCACCCTCTTCCTTTTCTCTCCTCTCCTCATCTGATTATCATTACTCCTCCACGTGTTCTCCAAAGGGTTTCCACAACGGATGGGGGAACGCGGAGTCCGATAGCTTGGCCTGCGCTCTGGCAGCAAGGTTCGGCCACAGGGGCTCTTCCATAAGGCGGGGGCGGCGGTGACACGCCGTAGGCGCCATCGATACCAATTGATTGCCCTGGCTTTGTGTACTGCCCATTCGTTGAGCACATCCATCAGAGGCTTATGCACGGAAAATCCCTTCGTACCAAAGAGACAATGATCTGGCCAAATGGCCATTGAGAATTTACCGCCTGTCTTCAGCTTCTCTACGTATTCAAGCGCCCATGTCTTCATCTCGGGCTGACGTGGAGTCCATACGCCATTGAGGATGTCCTCCTTCGTTATGGGCGTGAATGCAGCAGGATGTTTGCCATCTCTGCCCTTCCAAAAATCCACCATCAGGCCGTGTGCCCGTCGGGGCGTGTTATTTGGACGCCCGAAATGGGTACGGAAAGAATGGGTACAATGCCCAACAACAAATGTTGTCCCAAACCAACAGCGGCCGCTGTTGGGCAGGCGGCCTCCTGTCTCGAATTGACACAGGCCGCGGCGGCGTGGATAGCGAGTCCTGCTCAAAATGAACAGGATCTGCTGTTGGGCATTGTTCCCATTCTTTCAGTACCCATTTCGTGCGTGCAGATGTTAGGTGGTAAACAGCGTGTTGTCTGGGAGGTGTTTCGGTTATCCCGGGGCACCCCCGCCCGCCCACCCCGTCGCTGCGCGCGTGCCTTGAACACAGCGCCCCCTGAGTCTGCATGCTGGCCATCGTTTCGGCCTCCGGATGGCCAAGATGGGCCAAGATTGCCTCAAAGACGGCGTCCAAGACAGCTGAGATGAGACCAAGATGGCCCAAGATGGCCCTTGGCGGCTCAAGAACCCCCCAAGACGGCCTCAAAACGGGCCCAGAGGCCCTCAAGACGGCCCCAAGGGGGCTCCAAGAGGCCCTCCAGAAGGGTGCTTGATGGATTTTGAAAGTCTCGCCTGTTGGGGGTTCCGACCGCTCAAGGCGGGCCAAGAGGCCTCCAAGAAGCCGCCAAGACAGTACCAAGACAGCCCAAGAGGACTCCAAGAGGGCCCCAAGGCCCAAGAGGACCCAAAGATCCCCCAAGGGGCTCCCAAGAGGGCTGGAAGACGGCTCTGAAGCGCTCCACGAAGGCACCAAGACGGCAGAAAGGCCCCCGAGACGGCCTCCAAAGGCGTCACACGGAGAAGGGTCCCCTAAGACGGCTCCAAAAACCCCAAGATGCCTCCAAGAGGACCCAAAGGAGCCTCCAAGGCCCCAAGAGGCCCCAGGATGCACCCTTCTCCTCCTCGTCCTTATTTTCTCCCTCTCCTCCTCCTCCTCCTCCTTATCCTCCTCCTCCTCCTCCTCCTCCTCATCCTCCTTCTCCTCCTCCTCCCAATCACGCGGACGAAGACGAGGTCGAGATCAAGCCCCCCACAGCCCAGACAATTCGCTGAACTGCCGCGAGGCGTGAACTCGACCTGATTTCTACCGCGAGGACGAAGACGAGGTCAGAATCACGACCCGTCCCAATGCAGACCATTCGTGAGACTTGCGCTGCTCCTTCAATCAGCCTCCTTCCTGCTGCGCTGTTGCACAGGCACGGTGGCGGGATTAGCCGCAGGCAGCCGGATATTGATGATGGATGTGCATTGCATGGTGCGTGTCGAGAGACACTACGATGCGCTCGATCTTATCAATGTTCTGGCTAATCAGATCGGCAATTTTGCGAGAATCCTCAGTGGCACCAGGGACCGCTAAGTTGCCACCCTCATGGAAATCGACCTGTGGATCGATGATGAAGAAAGCAAGGCCTCCAGAGTAATGATCCGAGAGTGGCACACCATCCATAAGACCAGAAGCTCCTGCTTTTGACGCGAATGCAGTGCCAACGTCGACAATCTTCTTACTTGTGCCCCCAGGCACCGTGGCGCGTTGTTTGGAAGACTGGCATCCCATCGTGTGCGCGCTGGATGCTGGGTATTTCCTAGTCGTGCGCCCGAGCGAGGCACGAACCCTGTCTCAGCTGGTGCCGAAATACGGATCGCGGCGACGGTCGAGGGGGGCGGGAGGGAGCCACTGACGAGGCAGGCGAATGACGCCCCGGGGGGTGTCGGAGAAGAAAGACAGACAGACAGAGAGCGGGATGGACGAGAAGGGTGAGGAGGGGGAGGGGGAAAGAGGGGGACCTGGAAAGGACGGGAGCGAGGTTGGATAGTTTGATAATTCGCCGGCCCAACGGACCAGAGGCGTGCTGATATCTCCGTCAAGAGGCTTCGATCACTTCCAGTTTGCGCGCGCGCGGGGCGGCCCCTGGGGGCCGCCCGGGACGAAGAGTACCCTGCCAAATCTACTGCATGGCAAGGTCGCGGCAAATTTCTGGCAAGGTCCTGGCAAGTTCCCGTCAGAGAGAGTGTTGCCTCTGGGCGCTGCCCTCGGGGCCCCCAGAGCGCCAGGAGCGCCTCCAAAGGAGCTCCAAGAGAGCCCACGGGCAGCCAGAGAGCGGGATCCAGTGAATGGGCATGCCCAAAGATGCCCCAGGACAGCCCAGAGAGGCCCAGGATGGTCCAAGACAGCCCTCGGAGAGGCCAAAAATCAGCGATTTCCCATGAGTTGTCGACATATTCTGGCGTTTTCGTCTTCTTCGGCTTCCGATCGCCCAGAACGGCCCCAGAAGCTTCCAAGATCGCCCGCCCCAAGACGGCGGGGCTCAAAAGAAAAACCAAGACGGCCCAAGAAGTCCCAAGACGACCCAAGAAACCACCTAGGAGAACCAAGGAGACCCCCAGAGGGTCGCAAGAGGTACCCAAGAATGATATCTAGAACCCTTCCCCGAAAGATGAGCCTCGAGACCGCTAGCAGGCCCCAAGAGGCCCTCAAGACTCCCCCCAAGAGGCCCTAGGAGACCCCAACATGCTCCCAAAAGGCCCGCGAGAGGCCTCCCAATAAACCCAAGAAGCCTCCCAAAGACGTATGGTGTCCATGACCTCGACACAGAGGCGTTTCTGGCCGACGGCCCCTACAACTAAATAGCAGTTATGGGCAGGCGGAATGAGCGAAGAGAAAGAGAAAGGGGATGCGGAGGAGAAATAGAAGTAGCAGGAGAAGGAGGAGGAGGAGGAGAAGGAGTGAGGCAGGATAAGCATATGATGGAGAAGACAGACATGCTAAGAGGCACTTCGCGCCTTCCGCCAGCCCGAAGAGAAGACCGAAGAGGGCCAGGCCGCAGGTCTGCCAGAGACCCGAAGGAGGGCAGCCGCAGGGCAGGCACACCTCCGTTCTCCCTTGGGCATGTGGAATACATAAAGGTTCCGCGCTCTCAGACTCCTGGCTCCCTCTCCTCCTCCTCCTCCTCCTCTTCCTCCTCTTCCTCCTCCGCCTCCTCCGCCTCCTCCGCCTCCTCCTCGCCCTTCCCCTCCCCCTCCTCCTCCTTCTCCTCCTCCTCCTCCTCCTCCTCCTCCTCCTCCTCATCCTCCTCCTCCTCATCATCATCATCATCATCATCATCATCATCATCATCATCAGAATCATCAGAATCAGCATCATCAACAGCAGCAGCATGATCATCGTCACCATCATCATCATCATCATCATCATCATCATCATCATAATCATCATCAGCAGCATAAGCATCATCATCACCACCACCATCATCATCACCATCATCATCATCATAATCAAAATCGGCATCATCATCATCAGCATCAGCATCATCATCATCATCATCATCATCATCATCATCATCATTACAATCAGCATCATCGTCATCGGCATAACAATCATCATCATCAGCAGCAGCAGCAGATGCAGCACCAGCATCATCATCATCATCATCATCACCATCATCATCATCAATATCGTCAGCATTATCATCATAAACATCATCATCGCTATCAGCATCATCATCATCCCTCTTCTTCTCCGCGTCCTCCTCTTCCATTATCCTCTTGATGCGTCGGAAAACAAAACAAAAGGATCCGCGCTCCCAAGCTCCTGGGGCACGTAAAAAATATCCCGGCAAAGCAACCTAACAGCGATATGGAGAAGCATATCTGAAAGCATTCCCCTTAAGATTCAGATGAAAATCCAGTTGTAGGATTCTGCTGTTCTCGCAGTCGTAGTCGCATTCGCGATGACAGTCGCAGCGGCAACGGCAGTCGCAGTCACAGCCTCAGCCTCAGCCTGCCTCAGCCTCAGCCTCAGCCTGCCTCAGCCTCAGCCTGCCTCAGCCTCAGCCTCAGCCTGCTTCAGCCTCAGCCTCAGTCTGCCTTCAGCCTCGGCCTCAGCCTCAGCCTGCCTCAGCCTCAGCCTGCATCAGCCTCAGCCTCAGCCTCAGCCTGCCTCAGCATCAGCCTGCTTCAGCCTCAGCCTCAGCCTGCCTCAGCCTCAGCCTCAGTCTGCTTCAGCCTCAGCCTCAGTCTGCCTTCAGCCTCGGCCTCAGCCTCAGCCTGCCTCAGCCTCAGCCTGCCTCGGCCGCAGCATCAGCCTGCCTCAGCATTCAAAATGTGGCCCAGGAATGGAGTTCTGGGAACTAGAAGAACACGAAGTGGCCTACAGTTGGCTCCGGGCATTCAAAATCATGCCCAGGAATGGAGTTCTGGGAACTTGAAGAGCACGAAGTGGCCTACAGTTGGCTCCGGGCATCCAAAATGTGGCCCGGGAATGGAGTTCTGGGAAATCGAAGAGCACGAAGTGGCCTACAGTTGGCTCCGGGCATCCAAAATGTGGCCCGGGAATGGAGTTCTGGGAAGTCGAAGAGCACGAAGTGGCCTACAGTTGGCTCCGGGCATCCAAAATGTGGCCCGGGAATGGAGTTCTGGGAGCACCAAGAGCGATTTTGCGAGGATGTCCCAAGCGATTTCGGCTTCGGCGGCAAGCCTCCCCGGGTCCCGCCCAGACCCCCCTGAGGAGTCATGATGCTCTCTTTTGAGACCACTAGAAACCTATCAGCAAGAGCTGTTAGGTAAAAAGTGATCGGCGCTCCCAGGACCAAGAAAGCCTCGACTGGGCACACATTCAAGCATGTCCTTCCCCATGCTCCCAAGGGACGCCAGAAAACACGAGCGGCATACGATTCAAAGGCCACGAAGGTTTCGAGTCTAGACACCCCTCATGCATGTCCTGCCCCAGTCTCTTCTGGGATTGGCTCCTGGAACAGGTTCAAAAACTATAAATCTCCTCGTGGATACCGAAAAGGCCGTCCGCCCCCGACGGGCCGCCAACATGGCCCCAAGAACATGGCAACGATTGGTACCGACCCTCGTCGAGGCAGCATCCCTACCACCCTTGATTGCATAATCTGCGTGCAAGCGTCCCCCTGGTCGCAGCTCTGGTAGCAGACCGATCCCAGCCGCCGAGATACTTTAGACTGGCACTTCTCAGTATTTCCTGTCGATCAGCGTGCACCTTAGCTCTCGAGGTCGCCTACAGTTCCAGTTAAGTTAAGAACACCGACAGCACCTGCCATGATGACACTCAACACCCGATCCCGCCCCAGTGCTTTTTGATAGAAATATCCACCCGATCGACCCGAGATCAGGATGGCGAGCGGGAGTCACGACTAAAAATGGAGGAAAAATATTAGAGTTCTAACGAGTTGATGAATTTCGAGAAATAGTGTGTTTGACCAAAAAATAAAACAACACTTCCGTCGAGATTTTCCGAGCCAACTAGCCTGCCAGCGTTGTCGACTTACTCTTAAGCTTCGCCGCTTCGTTATTAAGGAAGCTCTACGAATCATTCGGAAGAAACGGGTGGATATTACTGGAAGCCGGCGGCAAACCGTCAACCTTGGTTACCGCCAGGAACTCGTAGAGTTTCCTTGCCATAAATCTACACATATCTATATATATATATATATATATAGATACGAATGGCACGCGAATGCGGCAATCTCGCAATCAGCGCGCGCGAGGGTGTGCGCTTTCATAGAGATGTGCTTCGCTTGCCCACAGCTCGAGACTTCAGAAGCTCTACTCACTTGTACAGCATGCCCATTTCAAATCGAATGATGTGTTGGACAGTTTGGTAGCTGTTTGCAAAATACAACTAGTTTTCGGTCGCAGTTCTGATAGAAGACCGATATCAGGCCTCTCGATACTCCAGACAAGCGCTCGTGATCTTTTCTATTCGAACGGTGTGCTTCCTAGCTCCGTAGCTTGCCTTCAGCTAGGATTCAGTGGAGAAAACCAATAACGCCTCTCCAAAATTTGAAGAGTGAGTTGTTCGGTCGCAGCTCTGGAAGCAGAACGATCTCAGGCGTCTAGATACTTTAGACTGGCGCTCAGCATTTCCTGTCGATCGGTGCGCATCTCCGTCTCGTAGCTCGCCTCAAGCTCAAACTAAATCGACAAAACGAACATCACCTCTCAGAAACTTTGAAGACTGAGGATAGTTTTCTGGTCGGAGCTCTGGTAGCAGACCGATCTCAGGCGTCTAGATACTTTGGACTAGCGCGCCCGATCATGTCCTGCCGATCGGCGCGCATCTCAGCTGCGTGGCCCGCCCCTAAATAGAGAAAACAAACATCATCTCTCACAGAAAATTGCAAGGTGCGAATGGCATTTCAGTTGCAGCGCCAGTGGCAAACCGATTGCAGACGTCTCGATACTGTAGACAAATGTTTGAGATCATTTCCTGTTCAACCGTGTGCTTCCCAGCTCCGTAGCTCGCCTACAGCTCGAATGAAGTAGGCAAACCCAACATCGCCTCCAAAAAACATCTGAAGAGAGCAAATAATTGTTTGGTTGCAGCTCTGGTAGCAAACCAATATCAGGCGTTTATATACTTTAAACTAGCGCTCCTGATAATGTCCTGTCGATAAGTGCGCACCCCAGCTCCAGAGCTTACCGGAGGCTCGAATTAAGCAGAAAAAACAATCCTGGATCTTTCAAAATCTGGAAAGAATGATCAGTCGTAGCTCTGGTAGCAGACAGATCTCAGACGTCTCGATACCGTAGGCGAGTGTTCCTGATCATTCCTGTTGAACGGTGTGCTTCCCAGCTCCGCAGCTTGCCTAAAGCCAGAATTCAATAAAGAA